ACCGGCAGTATTTCCTTTTTGGGTACAATTTTAACAATAACAGAGTCAACCAAAAAACCAAAAAAACAAACAAACTAAACAAACAAAACAAACAAAATAAAATAAATAAAATAAATAAAATAAACAAAATAAATAAAATATCTCACGGGTAGTATTTCCTTTTTGGGTACAATTTTGACTATAACCGAGTCAACCAAAAAACCAAAAAGCCAAAATAAATAAAATAAATAAAATAAACTAAACAAACAAAACAAAATAAATAAACTAAAAAATAAAATATCTCACGGGTAGTATTTCCTTTTTGGGTACAATTTCGACAATAACCGAGTCAACCAAAAAATAAAAAAAAAACAAATAAAGGCAAAGAACAAGCAAACAAAGTAAATAAATAAAGTAAAAAAATAAATAAAATATCTCACGGGTAGTATTTCTTTTTTGGGTACAATTTTGACGATAACCGAGTCAACCAAAAAACCAAAAAAACAAACAAACTAAATAAAATAAATAAAATAAATAAAATAAATAAAATAAATAAAATAAATAAACAAAATAAAATAAATAAAATAAATAAAAAATAAAATATCTCACGGGTAGTATTTCTTTTTTGGGTACAATTTTAACAATAACGGAGTCAACCTTTGGCGGTGGCCTGAATGAGTTTCTATCGATTTTACAAATTCTAAAAACTTTTGCAAAAATATTTACATTTGCAGCTAAACGGCAGTATTTGGGGTCACCAGGCTGAGCTAGCAAACGCTCACCAAACTCCTCTTGAAACATCAACACCGCGCACCTATACACACACATATTTTTCTCTTTTTTTTTTCTTTAGTTTCTTTGTTTTTTTTTTTTGTTTTGGGGGCAGGTGCATGCAGATTTACTTATGCGCTTATTCTGCTCTTTGGGGCTTTGTTTCGCTCAGTGGCTGTTTTTTTTCGTTTTTTTGGGGTTTTGTTTTTTTGCTCTTTATTCATATCACGGAGGGAACAGAAAAAGGTATTATACAATGCAGCTATATATATATATATATATATAGACGTGTTTATATTTAGGTCTATGAACGCGTATAAACACGCTAAAGCATCACGCTATACGTATCTGTATAATATATATAATATATAGAACATATATAATAAATATACTATATAGATATAATATATAAAACATATATAATAAATGTATTCTACATATATAATATATAAAACATATATAATAAATACACTCTATGTATATAATATATATATAATAACTATACTCTCCCTCTACACTATAATATATAAATAAATAAAATAAATATCCCCTCTCTCCCTCTCTCTCCAAAACACAACAAAAAAGAATAAAAAATAAATATCCTGTCTCCTTATAACTGTCTCTATAACATAAAATACAAAAAAGTAAAAACTAAATATTCTCTTTCCTTCTCTCTGTATAAAGTAAAGTAAAGCATAAAAAAGTAAAAGATAAATATCATATCTCCCCTCTCTATAAAAACCTAAACAAAAAAAGATTATAAAGAGACAAATACTGCGTCTCCATTTCTATAAAAAAAGGCATA